AACTATTCTCCCAGATCACAATATAAATCATTTTTTTAATTTTCTTTAATTTAAAATATAAGACATTGGGTAGATGTTATACATTTTTTCAATTATATCCTTATTTTACTAAGTAATTAATGAAGTTATTTTAAATAAGTTAAACATTATATTTATTACACTCAAGAGTGAAATTATAATGATGTGAAATTTTTTTAAAAAAATTAAGATTTTAACTAATTTTTTAAATATAAATTAATTAACAATAACTTATATTAATCTAGAGAGAGTATCGACTATGAGATTGTCTATTAAAGCATGATTATTATTCCAAGATATATATACCTAGATCAGTGAAACAACGTGGCTGGTGTTAACACGTCTTCTCCTCTATAAGCATGTATAATATAAGTAATGCCAATGCCAAACCACCAATTTCAAGTATCGGCATAATGTTTTTAATACAGTTATTTAGAATCCCATACTATTGAGTCAAATTTAAATTTAAATTATAGAGATTTAAATTGTTTGATTGAATTGGTGTAATTTTATTAGATAGAGTATGGATGAATTGGTGCTCCTAATCCATTTCTCTTAGACTTAATCTATTTTTAAAACACTTGTTTAGTATAAAAACTATCCATTTTTTGGCCTAAATATACGGCATTATTGAGTGAGATTTGTATTTGAAACACACATATCGTGGATCTCATGTGCCATTCTAGAATATGAATTAGTCCAAATTAATATGTTTTTATCCTATTATTTAATATCTAGTATTATCAGATTAGATTCCAGCATTGTAGTTTGTGAGATTTAATGAAACTTAATTGAGGTAGTTCTCTCAATTTAATGTTTTCGTCCACATGATTTGAAGTCCCTCAATCTTATTTAGGGCATGTTTAATTTGATAGGAGCAGAGGAAAAGGGAGGAGTGATGTTACTTTATTTGGTTTAGGAGGGAAGAGGAGTAAAAATAATTATGTATAAATAACTTTATCCTCATTTTATTAAAATTGGTTTTTCCTGATAAAATATAGTTGTCATTGTTTTTAATATATAATTATAAGTTTATGATTATAATTATTCAAACTTAAAAAAAGAAGAAGAAAGAATTGACATAAGGGCGATCCCTGCTAAGATGATTTCAATCATGGAAGCAGGCAAACAACTACCATAAACTTTTTTTGCCTTCTAATATCGTTTGCCGTGGTGGATGCTATGGCTGACGGTGTGAAACTTGTATGGAGTGAGAGAGACTAATAATTACTTTATTTATTTAAAAATATAAGGTATTTTTAATCGATTCTCACCTCTCAATAAAGTAGTTACCTACTTTTCAACTAATCCTATCTTTTCATATTTACTTTTACTAAACATTTTATAATAAATATAAAGTCATTATCAATAAAGGTACTTTTGAAAAAAAAAGATAATGATTATACATCAAAAATTTAAAAATGCTTTATATTTTTGAACATCCAACTCCTCAAAAAATACTTTATATTTTTTAATAGAGAGAATATCATTTATCACCATTTGCAATTTGATGGCATAAATGAGAGAATAAAACACTCATATACTTGAGATATATTGGTCGGGGTGTAATAAATTTTATCCCTCCTCTTTCAATTCCCCCCAATTTGGAGCCAAACAAGAGGACAGAGCAAAATCCCTTCCATCCCCTCCCTCCAACCAAACAACCTTTTAGAGTATTTAAATCCCTTTCATTTGATTAAACCATAGTTAGTTTGTCAATTTTTTAGGGTTAGTAAACCATCTGGTGTCCAAAGCCAAAGCTCTATCTAATCCAAATTAAGTCTAGTAGAAATCCTTTCAAACAGAAGTTCTATCATCAAACATTGTTATATTTTTAAGACTCAAACTTGAGTTTTATAATGAAGAAGATATTACTTTTTTATCAGTTGAACCAAACGTTTACAGGTGATTTGTTAATTTGTACGGTAGTATGATGAATTCTTCAAGTGTGAAGGACCATTTAATACCAACGTCACTTACATATTTGAGCTAACCCATTCATTCAATTTTAATAAAAGGGTTATTACGGGCCTTAGCCCATTCGTGCATGGCGTCCCTTGATGATGAATTGATGGTGGTGTATTGGTTTGTTTTTCCTCACGTGTCAAGTTGCTAGCATATTAGGTCAAGTGTCATTCCGTGAATGATTGTCCAACAATGAATTCATATTTCCGCATTATAAATTTATAATTAGAAGATTAGATCTTGTATAATTACAAATGCCAGAAAACATTTATAAATTTATAAAACATACTATTTACAATTGATAAATAATGATTAGAATATATAAATTTGGCGTACAAATCACACATGAGAATTTATGCTAAGCCCCACAGGTTAATCCAAACAAGCTTGTTTAATTTATTTTTTTTATTTTTATTTTTATTTTATGATAGTGAGGAGATGGAAGAGGATCAATGAAGCAAGTTTGAATTTGGTTTGGTGGAAAGAGCAAGATAATGCTTGTAATTAGTTGGAAAATTATTTTTAAAAAGTAATAAATCAAAATTTAATTTTTTTTAAAAAGAAAAGAAATAATTTGGGCTGATTTGAATAATTCTAAAAACTTAAAGTTTTAGGATTAAGTTTGACTATAAAAACTTTTCTATATGTTCGGTCATTATTTGGGTAAAGCTTGAATAAACCAACCCACCCAAACTATAATTTTTGGTTAAAATAATTATATTCAGTGGTGGAGATAGGGCCTAAAATTAGTAGGTGCAAGGCAATTCAATTTAAAAATTAATAATTAGTAATTTTAAAAATAATATAATAATTTTTAAAAATAATTATATTAGATAAAAAGCATAATAACATAAGTAAAGTTATGCCTATTCTTATTTGGAAAAAATATACTGAGGATTTGTTTGAGTAAAAAAAATGTTGAGAAAGTTGATATAGATTTTAATTTTTTTAAAAAATAAAACTACTACCCAAAAGAATGACTTTAATTTGTTGGGCTTGGATTTTATTATAAAATAAACAACTCTTGATTCATTTTTTTAATAATATGTCTAATTTGTATAAATTTTTTGGTTTAAATTTATGAAATATAAGATAAAATATAATTTATTTAAGAAGTTTTTGAACCTAACTATTATTTAATAAGTCTAGAGAGTTTAAAATTCTAAAATTAAAGGTGTAAGATTGTAATTTTTACATATCATTTATGTAATTTTTTTCATGTCAAGGGATGTATTTGCCCTATAACTCCGCCATTGTTTCTATTCGTATTTATTTTTCAATAATTAAAATTTTTTATCTTAAAAAATTTTTCAATAATTATAAAACTACAATACACTTTTTTCTACTTGCTAATGTGAAGCCAAGCATCCGAAAAGTTAAAAAAAAGTACATGAATAAATATATTGTGTTTATTTTTTTTCTTAGTATTTTTAAAAAATTCAAAACAAATAATCATGAGAACATTGAAACTTGATTTAGAAATATGAAATGTGTAAATTGAGAACCTGAGAGGGGGCTTTCGACTGCTACACAAAGGGTGAAGTAAATGTTATTTTCATTTTATCAACAACTAAAAAATTCTGGATACCCAAGCTAAGCTTATTCAAGTGGCCTAGATAAATTTGAAGTGAAAAATAAATAAATTTTTAAGCCCAATCTTAAAAAATTTTTCAATTTATTTGACCCACTCATTAAACTCGGTCCAAATTATTGGTTATAATATCAACATGATTTCTTTTACACAACTGGGAGCGTTGCCTTGTATATATATATGTATGTATGTATATTTAAAAGCTTCAATAATTTGAACAGACGGTAAATAAATAATTTTTGGAAATTTTATGAAGAAGAAAAATTATTCTGCAGACATTTAAAAGGGAAATTGTAAATAAAATTCTCTAAAATATATAAATAATAATTTAATATTTTGAAATGGCATAATTTCTCTGAAGACTCTAAAAACTTTTATGTCATTAATAAATTTATATAAATTATCAAACTGTCTTTGTTGAAAATAAATGATTTACAAATTTTATTTAAATATCCATAACTTTTTTTTATATTTGCAATAATGCAATAGCATATAAAAAATTTAACATGTTCCTAAAAACTTTAGGAGAATTATATCATTTTCAAGAGTTAAATTATTATTTATATATTTCAGAGTAATTTTGTTATCATCTTTCCCATTTAAAATCAATAAAAACAAAAAACGAAATTATTTTTGAATTTGATTACAATAATGAAATGGATTACTAAGTAATAATTTTTAAATTTTTTAATATTTTATTATATTTCCATTCATAAAAATTATTTATTATTTAGGTATTTTTTAAATTTTATGATCATATTTCTTTACATCTTTAAATTTTTATTACACTCTCCTATCCATCATATTTGATTATTTTCTAAAATTATATAAGTTATAGTTGTAAAAGAAATTGTAAACAATTAATAATAAACTTTATTAATAACACATAATTGTTTAAATATTAAATATATGAAATTACAATTATAAAAAATTAAAATTGTAATTATAAATTGCTATAAAATGTTGTAAATTAATTATTTAATTTATATGATATGTGTTTAATAAAAGTATTATTATTTTTATATTTTAATTTTAAATTATACTCAAATTAAAAAAAATTAATTATAATTTTTAAATTTTGTCATATTTATTGATAAATAAGATTGCTTCACAATACATAATTTCCAAAAAAAAAAAAAGCGCTTAATCAGGCATGAAAATGACCGCGCAAGACCAATTGCGCTTCAAGGTTCTAACGTAACTAAAGCAGTAAAGCTGCCCCGTAGCGCGTAGCCGACCTCCGTCCAAAATCCGAACCTTCTGCTCAAAGCAAACCCGAAATTTTCCGCCAGCCAGCTTTCAAAAACAAATCACGATCGTCCACCCGTCGCACTTTTCTCAACGGCTTATAATTCTTCAACGTTCTTTCGAACATTCTAGATACCCTGCTTAAACCTATATATGTTCCCTTCCGTCCCTCCGTTCTTCTTCATTCATTCTCAGCCTCTTATTCTGCCTCCCTTCTTTTTCTTCTACAGCCCTAGTTTTCGTACAGCATTCGTGTTACAGTATGGCTGGAAAGGGCGAAGGACCGGCGATCGGCATCGATCTCGGTACCACCTACTCCTGTGTCGGAGTATGGCAACATGATCGTGTTGAGATAATCGCCAACGATCAAGGGAACCGAACCACGCCGTCGTATGTTGCTTTTACCGATACTGAACGGTTGATCGGAGATGCAGCTAAGAACCAGGTCGCCATGAACCCGACGAACACCGTTTTTGGTAACCGATCTTGGCTTAATCTTGTAGTCGTTCTTTTTCTTGACTATTTATGTTCATCTTGGAATTTGGATCTGTTGTCTTCGTGTTTAGCAGCCGATCTTTACTCAATCTTGTAGTCATTTGGCTTTCTATGTTAATTTTGGACCTGCTGTCTTCGGATATGAGTTTGTTGTTTATTTTGGTGGTTTAAAATTAGATCTGAGCATTCTGCTTCCTTAGTGGGGTTTAATATATCTGCATGATTTTCTCCTCGCTTGTTTGATTGTAATGCTCGAATTCTCGTTGAGATTATCACCTGTCTTATTCGATTGCAAGGTCTGAACCTTGGTTGAATAGCGTTTCGCAGTATATAATTTTTTCTGATCTGTTCCGAATCGAAAATAATTGAAGTTGTTTTCGTATAGTTCGTAATCCAGTGTGCATGTTTAAACAAATAACATTCTGTGTAAGAATTTTTTTTAATGGTTTGATATTAACCAGTGTAATCGTCATTTTGCAGATGCCAAGAGGCTGATTGGTAGGAGAATCAGTGACCCATCCGTGCAGAGTGATATGAAGTTGTGGCCATTCAAGGTTGTGTCTGGTCCTGCTGAAAAACCAATGATTGTTGTTAATTACAAGGGTGAGGATAAGCAATTTGCTGCCGAGGAAATCTCATCCATGGTTTTGACCAAGATGCGTGAGATTGCAGAGGCCTACCTTGGGTCAACAATAAAAAATGCAGTTGTCACTGTTCCAGCATACTTCAATGACTCTCAGCGTCAGGCTACCAAGGATGCTGGTGTCATTGCAGGATTAAATGTTATGCGTATTATAAATGAGCCAACCGCTGCAGCTATTGCATATGGGCTTGACAAGAAAGCTACTTCTTCTGGTGAGAAGAACGTGCTGATTTTTGACCTCGGTGGTGGCACTTTTGATGTTTCTCTCCTCACTATTGAGGAGGGTATCTTCGAAGTTAAGGCCACTGCTGGAGACACTCACCTTGGAGGAGAGGACTTCGATAACAGAATGGTGAACCACTTTGTTCAAGAGTTCAAGAGGAAGAACAAAAAGGACATCAGCGGAAATCCAAGGGCCTTGAGGAGGTTGAGAACTGCTTGTGAGAGGGCGAAGAGGACACTCTCATCCACTGCGCAGACCACAATTGAGATTGATTCTTTGTTTGAGGGTATCGACTTCTATTCAACAATCACACGTGCTAGGTTTGAGGAACTGAACATGGACCTCTTTAGGAAGTGTATGGAGCCTGTGGAGAAGTGTCTAAGAGATGCCAAGATGGACAAGAGCACCATCCATGATGTCGTCCTTGTTGGTGGCTCCACCAGAATTCCCAAGGTGCAACAGCTATTGCAGGATTTCTTCAATGGCAAGGATCTCTGCAAGAGCATCAACCCTGATGAGGCTGTTGCCTATGGTGCTGCTGTCCAAGCTGCTATCTTGAGCGGTGAAGGCAATGAGAAGGTTCAAGACTTGTTGCTACTTGATGTCACTCCTCTCTCAACGGGACTGGAGACTGCTGGAGGAGTGATGACCGTATTGATTCCCAGGAATACCACCATTCCTACTAAGAAGGAACAAGTATTCTCCACGTATTCAGATAACCAACCCGGTGTCTTGATTCAAGTATACGAGGGTGAAAGAACAAGAACCAGGGACAACAACTTATTGGGCAAGTTCGAGCTCTCAGGAATTCCCCCAGCTCCCAGGGGTGTTCCCCAGATTACTGTTTGCTTTGATATCGACGCTAATGGCATCTTGAATGTCTCCGCCGAGGACAAAACCACTGGACAGAAGAACAAGATTACCATTACCAACGACAAAGGAAGATTGTCGAAGGAAGAAATAGAGAAGATGGTTCAGGAAGCCGAGAAGTACAAGGCAGAAGACGAGGAGCACAAGAAGAAGGTGGAAGCCAAGAACGCCTTGGAGAACTATTCGTACAACATGAGGAACACCATCAAAGACGAGAAGATCAGTTCAAAGCTGTCAGCAGACGACAAGAAGAAGATAGAGGATGCGATAGAGCAGGCCATCCAATGGCTGGACGCGAACCAGCTGGCGGAGGCTGATGAATTTGAAGACAAAATGAAGGAGCTGGAGAGCATCTGCAATCCCATCATAGCCAAGATGTACCAAGGTGGAGCTGATGTTGGCGGTGGCATGGATGATGATGATGATGCTCGCCCATCTGGTGGCAGCGGCGCTGGCCCCAAAATTGAGGAGGTCGATTAAGTGTCTTCTTGGTTGTAGGTGGTCCTTGCTTTGGGGGTTGCGATTATTATTAGACTTTTACTGTATTAGGTCTTGATTTTGTCTTCTGTTATATTTCACCCAAACAGTTGGAAAACTTTGATTATGGATCATTTAATACGAAGATCATTTTGCTCAGTATTATACAATTTGCATGGCGAAACAAATAGTCGCAAGATTTGGATTCTAGATACGATATGTAAACATACATGCGAATTTGCTGAGTAATAACAAATTAACAAAATTTTACCCAAAAACAAAAAAAAAAGTTAACAAAATCATTCATGTCTTTATCGGATTCCATTCCGTGTTTCACCAAAATTCTGACTCACTACTCGTTGACTACTAATCTTTTTACTTACAAATTACAAAATCATTGACATTTTCCCTTATTTGTTTTTTGGCCATTTAAACTAACCAGCTCTATATGTAAAAATGTAGTAGAAAAAGGGATAAAAACAGTTCAAATAAATCATGTCAAATCAAAAAACTATTATTCACGATCCTTCATGATTTTTTTTATCACACGTTTAGTTAAAAGACATTGACTTCATTTTGCTCCACCGGGGTACCGATAGGCATCCGGAATGGCTGTTGGCGTAATGTCCGAGTCCGAGAGGAGGGAATCATGGAAGGACGTCTGTCAATTCCTGAATTTTCAAGGACGAAATCCATTTACAACAAGAAAGATTAAAAAAGTGACACATACACACGCACTTTTAAATTATTTTGGCATTATATTTCATGATATTGATAATATAATCTTGTTCAAGTTTATTGCATTTTTACATCTTATGAATAAATATTGAATTTTTTAATATATGGAAAATTTCAGATTTTCATTTGCCAGTCACTCCAATGAACACAAGGATTAGAAAAAAATGAAAAATTAATGAAAGAAAAATACCAGTAGAATAAAGAATTCTGCCTCCTTTCACTTCTAGTGCATCCATCTATGTACTCTTATAGAACCTCACCGACAATGAGTGCCTTCTACAACTTCAACCGGTATATGACAGTGCAAAACATACGCAACATGATAATAATTGATATACGTCGAAACTCGAGATTTACAATTCGCTTATGTGACTTCTAAATCTGTTACCCAAATGAATCTGATCAATGAACCAGGGTCCAGTCTTTAATCCTTTGTAGGATAGATTCCACTCTTGTTTATGTTAGCCCACTGAAGCTCGAAACCTTCTTGATGGCCTCTTCTTCCATTCCAACTAGTTGACGACAGAATGATTCAACATCCCTTGCTTCTTCCTTTAACGCCATCCTGAATTCTCTCCATTGGTACTCACCAGCTCCATCCTTCACAACAGGATCAGGAAGCCTTCCAAGCACATCAAATCCCTTGCGGTCCACTGATGTTACATATGCATCCTTGATAATATATCCCAATGGATTAGTCAATTGGATTCAATACTCTAGTAAGAATATCTCACAATGGCCATGACCATGACACATCAACAGAAGAACAGCAATTAATCCAAGTAAGAAATTAGCTTTAGATGTGCAGGCACTGCTTTTAAATGGCAATTATGATTGTTGTCATGTGCGATCTCATTAATGAACATAGATATGGAAGGCAATAGAATTGTAGGTTTTAAGTTTGTCAAGAGATGATAGATAAAAAAAGAACATTTAAGTAGTACTCCCTCTGTTAAAAAATATAAAGCATTTTTTAAGAAGTTGAATGTTTAAAATTGTAAGGTATTTTCAATCTTTTAAGGTGTAATCATTGCTTTTTTTAAAAAAAAAAAGTACCCCTATTAATGAATGACTTTATATTTATTGTAGGGTGTTTAATAGAAATAAATATGAAAAGATAAGATTAGTTTAAAAGCGGATAACTACTTTATTAAAAAATGAGATTCAATTAAAAATGCCTTACATTTTTTAACAGAGAGACTATTGCTTAAGGATCATGATACTAAACCAGAAGGCCAAAAGAAGATAATAGAGAAATTCTATCATAATTTGATAAGACAAGACGAGGTGTATCCATCATCAACACGTCTCAATGCTGTAACACGAGGAGATGGAATCAACCAGATTTCAAACGCTTCACAAACTAATCTGTAACTTATCTTATTTTCTGCTTCTGAAATGCTATCGAATAATCAACTAACTTGAACATACTTTAAGAATGCAACTGAGAAGCACTGACCAAATTACTATCTAGAAGCAGTCTCAACGTATTACCATACAAGTCCAGATTTACATATCAAGAATTACCCTAGTTCGGTCCCTAAAAGATATTTGTTCTCATAGTTTAATCCACCCCTCTTAAAAAGCATGAATACGATCCTGAGCATTGTTAACCTCGTTTTAAGAGCGTTACTCTTGTGGACTAACATTATCCGATAAAGAATGTTTGTGGCTGGCGTGGATTGTTAGCACTACATGGAGGCTTCCCAACAAATAAAATGGCAGCAATTTGGCTTCCCAAATCTCGTTTAATTGAATCTCCTGCTCCTGGTATTATTTTGAGACGTTCCTATATGCTTATTCTGGAATGTTAGCACTACATTGTTTGCGCTGCATTGCATGCCATGAATTGCCACTGTTTCTTTATTGCCAAATTGAAATCCAAAGCTACATGATTTTTTTTGCTGGTAGACATCCACATGCATTGCTAACTATTCACGTCAGCCACTAGTGTTTGGTTAGAAAGAGAGTTCAAGCATGTAAGGAAGTCAATATGAGGTCAACAGAACTCAAGACAGGATTAAATTGTTGTATTCTTTAAAAAGTTCAGACTAGCTTGACGGTCATTATCTCTCAAGGAGTAAACAAATGGGACAGATATTTTTCAGGGACAAAAAATAGTAATTTACAACAAAAATAAAAATCATTAAGTTACCTTTACAAGGGCATTCATGTAGACCAAACAGAAAAGCACAAGAGCTCTACGCCTAGCATCGCTTTGGTTAATCCCATCAATGAGCTTTGCTGAAAATGATGCTGGCAACACATAAAACACAGAGATGTGATTCATTTGTGGCACAAACAAAACGTACTAGTTTCAGGTATCCTGACAGTCCTTTACCTAATGGATCAGCTTTTGATGTGTTCATATCTTCAACATTCACTTCAAAAGTTCCTCCATGGCCATCAATATATGTGCATGAGCTGCACGCTAAACTTCTATTAGATGAAACTGACATCTGAGACTTCCAGAATTTGTTTCTGGCTTATCCAGATCATACTTAATCGGGTAAATAGACATGCAGGACATCACATGTAAGAAGCAAGTACAGTTGATTGTCTAGGAACCAAATTTTCAAACTGACAACTCAGTTCTGCAATCTCACTATCAAATGAACACAAGGACCTGAACATCCATCTGATGCAATATATTAAACTCTAAACAGGTTTTCAAGGTTCTGATAATTATATAATTGTTTATGAATTGTTATTAGTTAATGTCAGTCATTCGTTATTAACAAATTGAGGTCACAAGTTCTTAGTTACCATTAGTATCTCCTATCCTATCATTCTATAAATAAGGAGAAGGGAGTTTTGTAAATTAGGTTTGACAGTTAATAGAAGAATAGTTTCCTGCTTCTCTGTTCCTCTCCTGTGTATGTTTGTGTGTGTGTTCTCTCATTCCCTCCCATTTCTCTCCAATTTTTTTTTTCTTTTATCCTATTCTTTCACATCATTTAACCTTGTGATATAAGTCTCATCAAAAGGATTCATCCAGTTTAACAAATCGAAAAAAATAGAAAATTTAGGTTAGAAGCAGAGGTGAACAACAAAGAATGAAGAAATTTAGTAGAATAAAAAAAGCCTATTTTCCGAGAGTAGAAAGTTTTGCATGCAAAACTGATTCACGGATTGAAATCAGCTAATTGTTCAGGATAATAGAATTCAGTGTGATGATGGTTGTAATCATAAAGCCAAAAATATCACAAGTCAAGCTACAAATGTAAGCACCCTCGTCCCTACCTCATTTCAAATTTATACACTGAATATCTTTCTACATCTCCCAATATTTCTTGAAGATTATCACTTCGAGATGTACTGCTAAGACTAGAGCTTAGTACCCCAGAAACAACATAACCGGACTCCTTAATTGCTTTTGGCTCAGATAGTACGATTTGCTCAAGTTTTTCTGCAAGAGATTTAACCTACACCAACAATATTAAGTTACTATTGTGAAGGATGAAATGAAGTTAATGAACCAATTGTTTTAATCTTCAGAGACAAGATTAAAGCAAGTCATCTTTCCGATATTCATACCATGCCTGACTAGAGGTTTTAGTAGTATTGAATCTCTTGATTACGGATTTCACATAAAGTAAAAAAGATATTGACCTTAACAGAAAAGTGCATCTTCTCCAGTATAACTGATATGTTAATTGCACGTTACATAAAATTTGAGAAAAGAGTTTAGATATAAAGATCATTTAATAGACAAAGTACACTTTCAATTGTAACTGTCAAAATGTTGCCTGTTTTTTATTTGATTTTGAATATTAGAATTACAGCAAGTCATTTGGAGGTTGCAAATGAAGCTTCCTTGCCCGGTTAAAACAATTGGAGATGAAAAGATTTCATCAAGCAGAACCACAATGTTAATGTGCAATGAAATTACATATTTTCTAACTTCTAAGATTCTCCTGACCTGGGAGTCAACTTGTCTAATAATTTGCCACATATTGCTGACAGTCTCTATAAGTCACTGTTTTCTCAGAATACAGCTTGATCAGTTCCGTTGTTCAATTCTAAGACTACCATTCTGACCAATTACAGGAATCAATCAATCCATATTATTTATTATAATGAAGACCTCCAGGCGGTAAGGATCACAAAGCCTACTTAAAATTTTTTCCACAGAAAATGTCAAAATTTATTGGCCAAGGGGCATTTAACTCATCAAGTTAAAGACAGGGAAAATTTATAGAGCTTAACAAAATGAAAATGAGTGAGCATATGGAGATTACCTTATCTTCATTAAGAGGAACAACATCCCCAACTAAAGCAACCCGTGCTGGTGACTGTAACATGTCAATAAATGAATCAATTAGTCAACATCGTTATTCTTTCCAATCATATCAGAAGAATAAATTATGATTTATTAGTATTAGGAGCCTTTTTGTGAACTGTTTTATGCACATGATAACTGAGATTGGGTGTCAAGGGTTTCTCATGAGGGGATATTATTGTTGTAGAATTAGTTTGAAAGCAACACAAAATATTTATACAATACCCTACCCTTTTCAATGATTTAAGCAAAGCACCTAGTGGGCTTGGAAAGGGAGTGGTCACAGCAAAAGAGCCACGCTCATCGATCATTGCATTCTGCAAGAAATTTGAAACTGTCAAATTACATACAGATATAATGTCTTAACAATATAGTTCTGATAAGCCAAAAGAAACTGCCACAAATTTAGCTATCATTTTAAAAAACCATGAACCTAACAGGTTTCCTGTTGATGAAAAATAGATTATACTGCCCTTTAGTAGTGATTCCTTCTGTCAGCCAAACAACAACAATAACTAGTTTTATTCTACTAGATGAGATCAACTATATGGATTGCACAACCCATGATGCTTGTCAACAACCAAATCTTTGGATGTATCATAAAACAAAAGGTCTCATTTGATAACTTTATTGAGTATTCTCTTTAGTCTTTTTCTAATCCTCTTTACTGGACTTAAGATAGTTCCACCATCCTCACTAGGCTTCCAAAATCTTTCTTTGAATATGTACAAATCATTTTAAATAATTTTCTACCATTTTCTCTTTAATAGTGGGCGTAGCACCTAGTGAGGGGAAAATGATCAAAAATCGTTTGAAATGGTTTGACATGTACAAAAAAGGCCACAAGAGACTCCAGTGAGGAGAGTGAAATGGATAATTTGGAGCCCTATCAAGAGAGGTAGAAGAAGGCTAAAAAAAACATTTATGACAGTTGTTAACCAAGACCTCTTAGCTAATAACATTTCAAAAGGTTTGGTAAATGATAAAAGGTAATGGCATTGCACAATTTATGTAGCCAACTCCACCTAATGGGATAAGGCTTGTTGCTGTTGTTTTCTCTTCAATAGTGGCATTTTTTTGTCAGCCTAACAAAGACCAATATTTTAAAAAAGAAAAGTTATTTTCCTTAAAAAGGACCTTTTTTTTTCTCTTTTCCTTTTTCTCTTTCAGCAGCTTGGCCAATCAGGCAATTAAAGTTAGTAAATCCTACTCTTCACAACAGAGGCATTAGCACCCCCCCCCCCAATCCGCAATAAACTCTCTATTATTGCCCTTGCAGTTCAGCACGAAGTTTCTAGGTTGTTGATATTTACATGATGAAAGTCATCATTTGCTCCCTTTGCACAGCAGAAAGGATGAAACTATAAAAGGAAAAAAGAAAGAAAGAAAGAAATAGATGAAAACTTACCACATTATGTAAATCGTTTTCTGGTACCCAAATGTATGGCTTCCCTCTCCTGATTATATACTTAACTTTCGATGTATAGATACCACTCTTACTGATATGGTCACGCAAAGTAACATCACTTCATTAGTCAATACTGAATTTCGTAGCAGAAACCCCCCATAATAAATATAAAACTACGTAGAATGAACGATCATAACAAACAGTATTTACCAATATATTGTGTCAAATAAAACTATGCAGTTCGTTAAATTGCCATAACTAGCAGCAAAAACAAAAAAAAAAAAACAACAAAAGAAACTGGGCACCTTCCTTTGACGTCTGCTTTGATAGTATTGAGATAACCTTGCCAATTTGACGCCAATATATTCTGCAGAACAGGACCATTTAACAGTCAGTATCTACTCATTTCCGTAGAACCTGCGAAATTCCGACAGAAGCGTAGAGATAAAGAGAAAAGGAGTGAGGACCTTGCATTTGTCGGCAAATGATAAGGTGTGAGATTTCATGGCTTCTTTAAATTAGCGATATGCACACCACCTGCTCGACAAAAGTAGGAGCTTGCTTACAGAGTTTAACAAAGCGAAGAAGCGTGAAACGGTACGGCGAGGAAGGGTATGCGAGCAAGAAGAATTGGCGTCTGCAGAGTGAAACGGCAAGAGACGAGCGAAACAGTAGTGCGTTAGTGCTTAGAGTAGAGGGTGATTCATTGACCCAATTTTCTTACTGGACCAAATGTTTTTATTTTACGTGCCCAAAAAAATCAAATTACATTTTTCTCGTTTTAATTTTCTTATTGTTTAAATTATTAAAATATGAGGTAGAAAAATTCAACTATTTATTTTTAATCTTGTGAAAGTGATACAGAAAAATTAGTGATGATATAAAAGGAATAAATCTGCTCAATTTACTTACACTATCGTTGGAAGATTTTTTGAAACGAGGAATGAAGTGGAATTAGATGATTAAAAGGTATAAATTACTGTTTATGAGTTTTTTTTTTTAAAAAAAATGGTGGAATGGTAAGGAAGGGCCTCTAAAGTCTTCTTTTATCATCCATAGCTCAATATTTTTTATTCTTTCAAATTGAGAGGTCAAGGATGGAAATTATAATTATTTCATTTATAAAATTACTCTCAAGCTCCTATCTTAACAAAGAAAATCCCATATATTATTTTTATTTTTGAGACATCTCTCTCGTCTCTTGTTAGATCTGCACATGGGTAGGGTTGGGTTAAGCATCACCCCAACCCAATGCCTAGCTCGATGTACACTTAGTTATCAGGCTAGTTGGATTTACCCAAAATATTTTTACAAGTATTTTTTAAAAAGTATATAAAAAAGTTTTCCTTAAAAAATATTATTATTATTATTTAAAATATATTCTTCATAAAACTAATATTAGAATCAAAAGTAATTTTTTAAAAGTTCAAATGAATAACAATTGCCAATTATCTTTACATAATAATAAGTTAAAAATAAATTTTGAAAGAGATTTAAAAAAATTGTAATGGTTAAAAATGTGTAAAATATTATAAAAATAATATAATTCATGATAACTTTCAATAAAAAATAATGCCATAAGATAAATATTATTTACAAAAAATTAAACAGAAAAACTTGCATATATTCAGGTAAGGCAAGGTTGGACCCTGCCAATGCCTGGCTCCATATGCCCAAATAGTTTGGGCAAGGTCAGGCTGATCGAACATTCAAGCATAATACATAATTATACTTCCCATCACATCTTTCTCGCTCTTGTCATCTCTCTTTATTAGGCTTTTCAACACTATGACTTTGTTGTGTTTTCCTTTTATGCAATAAGAATGTTTGCTTAAATAGCTCTGTTACTTGCTTTCTCTTTTTATTCTTAACTCTTGAATATCTTGTTTAACTCTTAATTTTAATTATTATTATTATTATTAATTGCATTAATATTATAATTATTTAATGGGCATTATTATTTTCTTTAAATTTACTCATATGGGTAATATTGAAAGAAAAAAGTTTTAAACCGTTGCGTTCAATTCATTTTATAATAACTCCCAAACAAAAGTAATATAAAACCATTATAATGAAAGTCCACCCAAAAGAGGGTGAATTGGATTTTATAAAAATTTAATAAATGATGCCTAAAAATAAGAAGAAGAGTTTAGAGAGATATCATCAAGTAGAAAGAAGATAAAGGAGAATAATCTTCTCAGATATTTATCCTGCTTCAGCTCCAATCATTTGAGCCTACATTCAGTTCCTCAAGTTCTTTTTGAGATTTCTCCAATAACTTCACTAAAATTAATCCAGGCTCTTGGCAGCCTCAGTACAATTCCAAACTTCAACTAAAGTCTGAATCACTTTCCCTTATAAAGGTAATGAAGTAACCCACTTAAACTCCCCAAGTTTAAGTTGTTCTATTATTAATTAGTAAAATAGAGGCAAACAGAGTGTGTTCAAAAGTGAACAATTACTGTTAAAATACTCTTACTCAAAGTTGATATATAATTAATGAAACTTACTGAAAATAAATATAAGCTCAAAAGGTTGGTGAACAATAAATATGGATAACTTGAGTTTTCTCATAGTTCTTCATATCTCTTGCATCTTCATAAATGTTTGCATTGATAGTTAAAGTTTGTTAAGGATTCGTTATTCTCATGAATATAGCTGTTAGAATCAACGATTTCTTTTCTTTGAGATATTTGAACAATCACTGAAATGAGATAATGGAACAGTGCTTTTTGGCAAAGCTTTCTCTATTACGACAAGTAAGGAAAGCAATGCCACTTTTCATTAAATGTTTTGACAAGGCAAGTGAAATGCTATTTTGGAAGAGAGAAATTTATTTAGGAATAAAGATTTTATAGGTAAGATCAAACTAGGCTCAACTTATCCTAAGAACACATTTAGAATGATTTTAGAGATATTATATGATTAATATGGCACTCAAAACACAAAAGAAAATGATTCAAAAAAGGTTAGGGTTGCCCAAAAATCAAACCAGATCGAGTTTTAACTCAACCCGAGGTCTCGTTTGAAAATGCTTCAGACTATATTTTACAGTCTGAAGATTGGTCTGGCCTGAAGCAAACCCAATGACTAACCTGACCAGGTATTGTCTACCAGACTCATGGACTGGTCTAGGAGACCAACGTTTTTTTAACTTGAATAAAAAACTTTAAAAAAATCACAGAAGACCCATTTAGGAACACAAAAATGTGGTTAAAAACCTAAGGAAATGATCTAAGCAACAAAATCGATGAATCAATCAAATACAAAAAAAAACAAGAAGAAGAATGAGAAGAAAAAAGCAAAGACCAAATCTAGCAACGACACCCATGGAGGACTTCGAGAATGGTAAATACAATGAAGATAACTGTAACATCTTAATTTTTAAATAATAAAAAAATTGTGGAATTAGGTTTTATTGAGGATAAAAAAATGATAATAATAAAAATTTATATTATTTGAGGTTATTCGAAAATAATATTATGGTTAGGTATTTAATTATGAATTAAAAAATTTAAATTTAAAACCACATAAGAAATATTTAGTTAAGATATAATTTCAAAATTTAGAATATATAAATATTTTTTATGTGTGTGTGTTAGTAAAAAAATAAAAAATAAATAATTTTATTGACCTAATAATTTGCAAAAAATTAGTTTGAAAATTTTAGGGTGTTACAATAATCTCAGGCAAACAAGACGCACAGACTTGGAGGAGGATTGGATGAGGAATTTCCAGAACACGATAAAGAAATCTCTAGATTGAAGTGAAGAACTTCACGAACAGAGCAACGAAAGGAGAAAGGAGAAAGCCAAGATGGGGGAAGAAAGGAAGAACACTGATGGTTATCACAGATGGCAAGGACGGCTCCACCGACAAAGGAAAGGATTATATCATGCTTTGTGAAAAAGGGAGAGGAGAAATAGAATCTGGAACAAAAAAATTTTACAGAAAATTTGAGAAAATAAATGAAGTATGTGTATGTATATATATTACTTTAAAAAATTATATATATAAAAATATATGACCACCGAGTTGGATTGGACTACGTAGTCCTAAACATTAGTCCAAGACCCAGTCTGACCCGATCGACCAACCTGGTCTAGACAAACTAGTTTAGTGTTCGAGTTGCTTAGTCCCTATTCAAACTGCACCGAGTTGAATCAGACCTGACCGGGTTGATCAGGTTTTGGGTTTTCTTGCACACCCCTAAAAAACGTTATGAAAAACCTCTGTATTTCTCACATGAAACAGAGTATGAGAGAGTGTGATTGTTTCAAAATAGGCGAGGCTCTTCAGAAATAAGGAAGAATATATTAAATGTAAATGTAAAGAGCTTATTTCAAAGTAAATAGCATACATCATATATAAAGTTACGAGATAATGATCTAAAGGACTTTATTTGAGAATAAAAAGAGCTATTCCCAAATAAGTTATTCCTGACTAGACTATTTCTAAACAAGCTAAACTTCATAAAGACTTAATGCATATAAGCTTATGAAGATTAGACCACTATTCTGATATAAGGGTTGCTATTTTGAAATAGGCTATTCCTGAATAAGCAGAAGGGATGATACTTGGGAATAAGGAAGACTCACTTAGGAATAAGCTATTCCGAAATAAGGTCACTATTATGAAATAAGGACCATTGATCAGAAAAATAATAAAGGCACACAGATGATGAGATTTTGATTCTAGGCATGCTTAAGACACCTTTTAGGCAATATAAGATATTAAAAATAAGTCAAACACTTAATCTTTTGCGAGAAACATTAAGTAAGAAGATCAAACGATATTTTACGTGTTTCTGCCTACTTGGGAAGAAAGCAAATATTCCAAAACAACGAGTTCTATATGAGATACAGAAATTTAAATCTAAGTTAATTAATTTTCTTACAAGTCATTAATTCTTGACTATTAACCTGTCAAACACAAATTTCTCTTATTTTGTAATAATCAAAACTAGGGTTCAACATATAAAACTCTTAAACAATGAAAAATTTTATTCTATTCCACTCCATTTTGTTCTATTCCGCTAATGATCGTTCCTTTTTATTCAATTAAAATCTCTCAAACGCACTCTTAGGATCGAGCAATATTACATTATTTTGTATTTTATTTTTCAAAGCGAATATCAATATTAATATTTAATATTATTCAAATTTTATAAACCCGCAATTTAAGAATGTTTTTTGTTTTTATACCAAATTGTAAACATTGTTCTCCAAACAAACATGACATTTTTTTTATAAAAAAAGATTTATATAAATTGAATCCTAAGAATTCATTAAGACTAATGCATATTTCTATATTTAAATAGTATTTACAAAAATATTTATAGATTATTTATCAATAAAGATCTTATATCGGTAATGGAATTCATATGAGTTATAAATAAAATTCTCATCCATGTGATTTTCAAAGATGGTCTATTTCTTTTTTTTAAAAAAAAATTGCTTGTGCTTTAAGCCTTGGGACTCATTTAAGAATGTGATTGGGAACAAAAAATTGTTATAGAGAATGACCAAAAAAAAAAATTATTCCTACCACACAAAATGTGAAAATGATAATTATTGTATAGCTTTTAAGGATTTATCTAACATATTAGTTTTTGGTGAAATGACAAATTTACCACAGCTTAAAATTTGAAATAAAATATATGAAGAACAAGCGACTACTTAAGGATAGAGAATGACA